CTGAAACCAAGCAACCTCCTATTTCCTTGAATCCCAAATATCTAAACTACTCCTGTTCAAGTAAGATGGGTATTTTTTTTTAAACTGAAGGCAAGATAAAGAATAAGCTTTAAGATTATACCAATAATTCTGAGTGCTCAAACATTGAAGGGCACCCGATTCCACCGTGTCGTGACACAAAAATATAGTACCTGCAGATTCGAGTCATTGCATGCCACAAGACGCCATAGAGAGCCATCCTGTTGCAACAGGAAGTGGTTGTCTCTGTCTCTCAGACATACGGCCGACTCGGCATGGCCAGGCATCTCGTCCAGAAACTGACTACAGCGCATGGTCAAAAGATTGAAGCGCTGCACCACAGTGGCCTGCTCTGAACTCATGTCATTACCAAAGACGACGATGCTGTTGTTGACCACCATCACCGCTGTGTTCCTCACTGGTTGCACCAAGTTGCCGATTTGCTCCCACTCGGCCGATCCAGGGTTGACGATGTGTTCTTGAGCAGGGAATCGTTCGATATTGTCGTACTCATCACCCCCAATAGCGTAGATATACAAACCATGCGAGACCAATTTGTAATCACCCCCTGGTTTGACAAGTGAGGGTAGTGACTGAGACTGCCCCGTCTTCAAGTCATACAAAAAGGCTGCGTGGTTTGTGTTCAGGCCAAACATAAAATCTCCAAAAGCAACAACTTGACATACACGGGATTTTTCTTCTTTTTCTTCTTCTGCTTTTTCTGCTTCTTCATCTTCTTTTGAGCCAGGTTCGACAACGACCAGTACATTCTGCTGTGTACTTTCCTCTCTGTGCACGGCTTGTGCCGGGAGGTAATTATGGCGGCTACCTGGAAGTGTGTGATAGTTTAAAGCCTCCTGAAGAGTTCTGGTCACTTCCTTGTTACTCCGAACCACATCAAAGTCCAGTAGATTTTGAAGGCATGAACTGCTGGCCAGACATGTTCTTGCGGATAGTAACAGGTTACTGAGGGCTTGCAGTCGACAGTCTTTCTCAGAGTCCACCAAGCACCATCTCTGAAAATTAAAATTAGAATCGTGCGGTTATTTTTAAAATTTCGTAAAACAGTTTTCTCAGAATGTTTACTAATTTTTGGCAGTTCATTCATATTTCAAGATTAATTGTCTTTTTAAGCCAAAGGCTGAATTTCCAAAGTCTACAGATGTAATGGAACAGTTTTGAAGTTGTTTCTACAGTGACGAGCTCTACTTTGATTTTGAGTCTAGGTCATCAGTCAATGGTCACGGAGTCTTTATCCAACTTTTAAAGCCATTCTCATGAAATGTATTGTGCAATAGGAATGATAATTGTTATATTGCATTGTACATCAACTTCAAAACATATGTGATGCAGCGTGGTGGAATCAGGCTCTCGTCAATTTTTTGAGCATGTAGAGTTATGGGTATCATCTTAAAGCTTGTTCACTTGTCTTTATTTAGATGAAAAGATATCCATTTATCTTGAATACAAGTTCAGATATTTGCGAATGAAGGAGGTGGGGGTCACCTGTTCTCAGAGGAAAAATTAGTGATAAAATGGCCGCCAAAGATTAGTTATTTCCTTAGCTTAAGAGTCCGTGGTAACTGAAAATTTCCATTTGTGTGCCTTTAATAAACGTTTTTCAGAAAAAGCTACACAGAAATGAGTTCTTTAATGGGCATGAAAGGTGATGAGCCAAAAAACAAAAATTTGA